AGCGCCTGCCTGGCAAGCGCAAGGTCATGAGTTCAATTCCTGGTACCAGACAAAACAAAAAACAAAACAAAACAACAACAACAACAAAAATAAATAAAAAAACTTAAAATATATAAGGAAGCAGGGCATTGAGAGTTCAAGATCAACCTGGGCTACAAAGTGAGCTCAAGGCCAGCCTGAACTGCATAGGGAGACCCTGTCTCAAAAAAGACAAAAAAATAAAATAAAATATATAAAGAATTTTTCCAACTTAAGAGGAAATCACCCAGTTAAATAAATACAATGAAAACAGCACTGCCACACCAAAGTGCTATACACCTGCTGTTTCTATACCATCTTGACAAAGACCAGGAACCAACAGTCATGAATGTGGCAGGGTCCAGGGATCTCCCTCTGAATGGCCCTGGCAGGGTCTGCAGGGTGCCCATGAAGGCCCTGATGATGGTGGAAGGGACAAAGGAGTAGTTCCTCTCAGAAGTGCACTAGCCCTGGGTGTGGCGGGTAGCGGGATGTGGCAGGCCACAAGGTAAGGCTATGCCTGGGTGGATGGGTGCCACGGGACCAAAAGCAGTAGCTGAAGCCTTGTGTGCTCTCACCCTTCATCCCTACACTGCAACCCCACCTTACAGCATCCCCCAAGGTCAGAGGTCTTCACAGTGGTTAGTACCATTCTGCAGTGTCTGTGCTCTTGACTCTTTTCCCAGGTTCACATGGAAGCCGCTGCCCAGGGTTGGTGGCTTGCCAGGACCTGGAAACAGAGAATAGACAGGTTAGCCAGAGCCTCACAGAGAAGACCCACACAGCCCTCTCATAGCACACAGAATGAAACAGGGTCCAGCTCGTGTTCAGGGAAGATCACCAAACAGGTGGAGCGGCCTTCTGCTCTCCCTAGTCCCACAGGATGAACCACGCCTATCTCCAAGTTCCTACCATGCTTCCAACATACTAGTAATCCTAGTGGGCTACTGTCATCCAACTGCAGGATGAGCATACAGTGCTGCCTCCCAGTTGCAGCAAAGTGAGTCTCACATCATGAGTGGGTCCCCACCAGGTCCTCCCCACACCCGCTGCTAGGCCCAGGCCATGGACATCACACCTTCATAGGGACTCCTACCTGCTGGACATGGGCTCCTAGAGGGAAGGAACCACAGCTAACCAATCTGCAGGAAATGCCCAAGTCTCTACCCACTTGTGTACCACCTTCTACAGAGGGTTGCAGGCTGGGAGAGCTCAATGCACAGTGTGGTCTCAGCTAAGCCACCAGGCACTGTTTGGAACTCTGCCAACAGACAGGAACCCTGGGATGGCCCACCACTCTCTGCCCTGCAGGCTTTCAGGGTTGGGACTTGACCCTTAAAAACATCAGGTGTACACATGGATCATTCATCAGGCTATGAGCCACACCATAGATGCCTAGACTTCAGATGGGCCAACGCTGGAATGAGTAAGCCAGGTGATATGAACTCAGATAGGGCCGCTGGTATGTGCCCTCATGCACAGGGACTGGCCTCCAGCAGCTGGCACAGGGGCCAACACATCTGAGACAAGGTACAGATAAAAGGACTCAAGACTTCTGCTGTAAGGTATACACACAGCCTCAGCCATACACTGGGCATGCAGGGCCTAGGGACACAGGCAAGAAAGAAATGAAAGTGCAAAAGTGACTTGCTCCAGTGACACCCACTACTGGCCACCTGGACCAGCAGGACCTTATCACCAGCCATGGGGCACCCTCCAGCACAGTCAGCACAGAATAAGCACAGAACTGGCTTATCTGTGAATAAAATTGGTTCTCAAACAAATACAAGACTTTTTGCAGATTTGCAAAATGACTCTCAAGTGCAGCTAGAAGCAAAAAGGAATTACAATGGCCAAGCAAACTCTGAAAAGGGCAATAAATGGGCCAGGTAGAGCAGCCCACAGGGCACATGAAGCTCTCATCCGGGCAGGGAGGCTGGCCTCGGAAAGAGATGAGCAAGTACCTGCCTTACCAGGTGACACCCAGCCTCCCCATCACTGTCAAGGCCCAGAACTGACCTGTGTCCATCTGCTGCTTCCTCTGGTTAACATGGTCACAGGGCTAGCTTATTGAAAGGGACCCTCATATCTCAGTTGAGATCAGCACCAAGCTCAAGGACACAGCACTTTCTGCTACAGCTTGGAGCCTGGACAGGCAGCAGTGCCTGAAATGTAGGTCCTCCTATAAAAAGTTGCCACAAGGCCAGCAGCCTTCAAGAAGCTGACACAGGACTCAGCAGCATGCTTTCATGGGGACTGGGGCAAGTGAGGCACAGTCACACTGGGGAATTCAGGAGAGAGGCTAGAAGTGACCAAGGCCCAGAAAGCCCACTCTAGCTGTGTAGCCTGCTTGGCCGGGGCCAGGAATATAGGGGCTGCAAATACCAATATACTAACTCTGGGTTTCAGAAGCCAACACAGGTCTCACTATGCGCATTTCCTACTCTTTATTTTGTGCATGGTGGCTGTTTTAAACTTTAGAATTTTTACACTTGAAATCTTTTAAAGGAAACTCACTACATACTTTGTAGTTATTGAACAAGAAAAACCACACCTCAGCATGCCTGTTTCCAGCACATGCTCTCTTCCAAGTTTTGGGGGGTGCTTGGTTTTTGTACTCAAACTTTAATCATACATTATAATCTTTGCTAAATCCAGTGATTGTCTTTTTCTCTTAGGGGTATCCAGCTTCATCTACATCATAGAAGGTAGAGTAAGACAGAATCACAGCACCAGACAGCCCAAACAACCCGTATTTCATGCACATATTTTCTTACTACACCAGGTTTTCCCCGCATCCCTAAATAATGCTTCTGGTTAAGCATATTCCTTTGCCAAGGGGAGAAGGAGTTTAGAGCTGAACAGACCCAAAAATGGATGATGTAAAACCTCACGCCTTTCTCCTTCCTCTGGAAGTCTCAACTGTGGCAGATATTAAGATGAAACTTCTCGGGAATAAAGCTTCTAATCCCCTAGATACCCCCATAGTGTCTCTTCCCTTGGTCACAGCTGCAACTGGCACAATGACTATGATGAATTGGCTAGGTGTCAGAGGTGCATAGATGAAGGTAAGCACACTCAGGATGAGGGCTGCTGCAGCCATGTGAGCTGAAGACCTATGCACGGAGGTACTAGGAAAGGTGGACTATATTCTCACTTGGACCCACTGAGTCAATAAAGCACTGAGGGAACCATAGTCCACACTGTAGAAGTTGTAGAAAAAGGTCCAAGTCACTGACTGCACCACTTGTCCAAACAGAAATAGAAATGATTTCCTCTGGAGAGATTAGGTAGAGCCCCCAAAATAAGTTACATGTGGGTAAAGAGGGAGAGGTAATACAGTAAAGAATACATAATTCAAACACAGCTGAAAGACAAGATTCCAAGACAACGGTCTCAGAAAGGCCTGGGGATGGAGAGGCAGAGAGACTAAAGAAAGCAAGTTGCTGGGCGTGGTGGCACATGCCTGTAATCCCAGCACTCGGGAGGCTGAGGTAGGAGGAATGTTGTGAGTTTGAGACCAGCCTGGGGTACAAAGTGAGTTCAAGGCCAGCCTGAACTGCATAGTAAGACCCTGTCTCAAAAAGACAAAAAAAAAAAAAGAGAAGAAGAAAACAAGTCAGGGAAAATATGAGTATTTTCAGGTCAGGGAAATATATACCCATGGGTGCCCAGGAAAATCAAGGCAGTCTGTGGGGAAAAATTAGCCCTATGCCTAGCTTTCAAAAGGTAGGGGACAGAGAAAGATGACTTAAGATAATGCCTAGGACTTGACACTGAACTCTGGGAGCTACAGTTGCTTGGGGCAAAGTAAAACAATTTCAGACACTTTGAACAAAAAGCTGGCCAACAATGCAATTAGGTACTCTCGTAATGGACACATCAAGAGACCCTTAGGCACCACAAATCCTGAATGAGTCAGCAGCTCTCCACCCCAAAGAATAAAAGTAGGTATCCCTGGTTCCCAGAAATCTGTAGCGTGTAGATCAGACACCTGGCTCACATCCACCAGGCTCAGCTTCTTGTCCTCATACTCCAACAGCAGCCTCACCTTCCCTGGCTGCCTGATAGCCTCAACCGGGGCTTTCTCCTCAGCCAACAAGGTATGCCACTCATGCTGGGCACAGAACATCCATGAACATTATATAAAAATACATCTTTTTTATCCATTGCTCAGTTGATGGGCATTTGGGCTGTTTCCACGATTTAGCTATTACAAATTGCACTGCTATAAACATGGATGCACATGTATCGCTGTGGTATGATGTTTTTAGTTCTTCTGGAAAAATACCCAAAAGGGAAATAGCTGGCTTGAATGGGACCTCTAATCCTAACTCACTGAGGAATCTCTAGACTGTTTCCACAGTAGTTACACCAGTCTACACTCCCACCAGCAGTGGAGAAGGGTTCCTTTTTTCCCACAGCCCCTCCAGCATTTGTTGTTGGTTGATTTCTTGATGACAGCCATTCTTTCTGGGGTGAGATGGAATTTCAACGGTGTTTTCATTTGCATTTCTCAAATGACTAATGATGTTGAACATTTTTTCATGTATTTATTTGCCATTTGTATTTCTTTATCTGAGAAGTGTGTATTAATCTCAGATGCCCATTTCTGCGTTGGGTCTTTCAATTTGGGGGGCCTGATTTTTTCTAATTCTTTATATGTTCTAGATAGGAGCCCTTTGTCCAAGGGACAGTTAGCTAAATTTTTTTCCAATTTCTGGGTTTTCTTTTTACTCAGCTGGTGATTTCTTTAGATGTGCAGAAACTTTTCAATAAGATGAGATCTCAGTTGTTGATTCTTTGAAGTAATTCCCACGCAGTTTCATTTTTGTTCATGAACTCTCTACCTAGCCCTATGTCTTCAAGGTTTTTACCTACTTTCTCTTCCAGGAGATTTAGTGTTTCCATTTTAATATTTAGATCTTTAATATATTTTGACTTTAGTTTGGTGTATGGTGATAGACTTGGGTCTAGTTTTAGTCTTTAGCATGTGGCAAGCCAGTTTTTCCAGCACCATTTATTAAAGAGGCCATCTTTCTTCCAGTGAACTTGTTTGGCCCCTTTGTCAAAGATAAGATGGTTGAGTGTATCTGTGGCTGTGACTGCATCTTCCAGTTACTCAGCTATAAAGAAAGATAAACTCGAGGTTTTTATAGGTAAATGGACACAACTAAAGACCATACTCATAAGTGAAATATATAAGACTCGCATGAGTAAACATCATATTGTCTCCCTAGTATAAGAACCTAAAAGAGTAAATAAAATCTAAAAGGTACAATAGATATTGTGAAACGGAAAGAAACTGTTCAAAAGGAAAGAACGAGCCAGGTGAGATGGCGCAGGCCTGCAATCCCAGCACTTGGGAGGCTGAGGCAGGAGGATCATTGCAAGTTCGAGACCAGCCTGGGCTACAAAGTGAGCTCAAGGCCAGCCTGAACTGCATAGATAGACCTTGTCTCAAAAAGACAAAAGAAAAAAAAAAAGGAAAGAACGATTAGGATGAGGGCAAAAGAGAGAACAAGGAAAGAAGGAAAAAATATGTATACATGTATACACAAGATAGCTAAGATAATTGTACTACTAATTTCTATTGGTTTTGTTGAAAGGAACTTGCTATTTAATTGTTTGATCAATCTTACATGCCTATATTTGTTTATCTGAGTAACTAATTTGAAGATAACAATATGTAATACAACAACCATTGTTAATTTCCTATCACCCTGTCTG